ATTTGGGCATGTGTCTCTTTGCTGCGGGCTTGTCGGAAACCGTCAAAATGCTCGGTAGATTTTCGAAAATGCTCTTGTGTTTCTATGGCTTTCCTTAATAAATATCGCATAGAGCCTTAGATTCCGCGAAACCGACAGAGCCCAACTTAGCCGTCGGTGGAAAGCCACAAGCAAATGCATTTTTCCAGCCCTGAAAAACGCATCTGGCTTCTCACGGATGCTTTTGCTATAGGCGTCCAGGCACCAATCTACTTTCGATTTTTGGCTTTAGTTTCGTGGTCTCGCGCTGTCATGAACCATAATTCAACGATTCTCTTAGTCAGGAAAACGCGCGAATGCAGTTTCCCGGGCCTGAATAATGCCTTTGGTGGTGCTGCAAGCATTCTTCTGCCGTGCTCTGAGCCGGCTCTCAAATGCAAGGAGAGCTATCCGAATGCATTTTTCCAGCCCTCTAAATTGCATTTGGGCATGTGTCCCTTTTCTGTGGGCTTGTCGGAAACCGCCAAAATGCTCGTTTGATTTTCGAAAATGCTCTTGTGTTTCTATGGTTTCCTTACTAAATATGGCATAGAGCCTTAGATTCCGCGAAACCGACAGAGCCCAACTTAGCCGTCGGTGGAAAGCCACAGGCAAATGCATTTTTCCAGCCCTGAAAAACGCATCTGGCTTCTCACGGGTGTTTTTGCAATAGTCGTCAGTTTCCAGGCACCAATCTACTTTCGATTTTTGGCTTTAGTTTCGTGGTCTTCCCTTGTCATGAAGCCTAATTAAAATGCAAGGAGAGCTATCCGAATGCATTTTTCCAGCCCTCTAAAATGCATTTGGGCATGTGTCTCTTTGCTGTGGGCTTGTCGGAAACCGTCAAAATGCTCGGTAGATTTTCGAAAATGCTCTTGTGTTTCTATGGCTTTCCTTAATAAATATCGCATAGAACCTTAGATTCCGCGAAACCAACAGAGCCCAACTTAGCCGTCGGTGGAAAGCCACAGGCAAATGCATTTTTCCAGCCCTGAAAAACGCATCTGGCTTCTCACGGGTGTTTTTGCAATAGTCGTCAGTTTCCAGGCACCAATCTACTTTCGATTTTTGGCTTTAGTTTCGTGGTCTTGCGTTGTCATGAAGCATAATTGAACGATTCTCTTAGTCAGGAAAACGCGCGAATGCATTTTCCCGGGCCTGAATAATGCATTTGGTGGTGCTGCAAGCATTCTTCTGCCGTGCTCTGAGCCGGCTCTCAGATGCAAGGAGAGCTATCCGAATGCATTTTTCCAGCCCTCTAAAATGCATTTGGACATGTGTCCCTTTTCTGTGGGCTTGTCGGAAACCGCCAAAATGCTCGTTTGATTTTCGAAAATGCTCTTGTGTTTCTATGGTTTCCTTACTAAATATGGCATAGAGCCTTAGATTCCGCGAAACCGACAGAGCCCAACTTAGCCGTCGGTGGAAAGCCACAGGCAAATGCATTTTTCCAGCCCTGAAAAACGCATCTGGCTTGTCATGGATGCTTTTGCAATAGTCGTCAGTCTCCAGGCACCAATCTACTTTCGATTTTTGGCTTTAGTTTCGTGGTCTTGCCTTGTCATGAAGCATAATTAAAATGCAAGGAAAACTATCCGAATGCATTTTTCCAGCCCTCTAAAATGCATTTGGGCATGTGTCTTTTTGCTGTGGGCTTGTCGGAAACCGCCAAAATGCTCGTTTGATTTTCGAAAATGCTCTTGTGTTTCTATGGCTTTCCTTAATGAATATCGCATAGAACCTTAGATTCCGCGAAACCAACAGAGCCCAACTTAGCCGTCGGTGGAAAGCCACAGGCAAATGCATTTTTCCAGCCCTGAAAAACGCATCTGGCTTCTCACGGGTGTTTTTGCAATAGTCGTCAGTTTCCAGGCACCAATCTACTTTCGATTTTTGGCTTTAGTTTCGTGGTCTTGCGTTGTCATGAAGCATAATTGAACGATTCTCTTAGTCAGGAAAACGCGCGAATGCATTTTCCCGGGCCTGAATAATGCATTTGGTGGTGCTGCAAGCATTCTTCTGCCGTGCTCTGAGCCGGCTCTCAGATGCAAGGAGAGCTATCCGAATGCATTTTTCCAGCCCTCTAAAATGCATTTGGGCATGTGTCTCTGTGCTGTGGGCTTGTCGGAAACCGCCAAAATGCTCGTTTGATTTTCGAAAATGCTCTTGTGTTTCTATGGTTTCCTTACTAAATATGGCATAGAGCCTTAGATTCCGCGAAACCGACAGAGCCCAACTTAGCCGTCGGTGGAAAGCCACAGGCAAATGCATTTTTCCAGCCCTGAAAAACGCATCTGGCTTCTCACGGATGCTTTTGCAATATTCATCATTTTTGGCTTTAGTTTCGTGGTCTTGCGTTGTCATGAAGCATAATTGAACGATTCTCTTAGTCAGGAAAACGCGCGAATGCATTTTCCCGGGCCTGAATAATGCATTTGGTGGTGCTGCAAGCATTCTTCTGCCGTGCTCTGAGCCGGCTCTCAGATGCAAGGAGAGCTATCCGAATGCATTTTTCCAGCCCTCTAAAATGCATTTGGGCATGTGTCTCTGTGCTGTGGGCTTGTCGGAAACCGCCAAAATGCTCGTTTGATTTTCGAAAATGCTCTTGTGTTTCTATGGTTTCCTTACTAAATATGGCATAGAGCCTTAAATTCCGCGAAACCGACAGAGCCCAACTTAGCCGTCGGTGGAAAGCCACAGGCAAATCCATTTTTCCAGCCCTGAAAAACGCATCTGGCTTCTCACGGATGCTTTTGCAATACTCATCATTTTTGGCTTTAGTTTCGTGGTCTTGCGTTGTCATGAAACATAATTAAACGATTTTCTTAGTCAGGAAAACGCGCGAATGCATTTTCCCGGGCCTGAATAATGCTTTTGGTGGTGCTGCAAGCATTCTTCTGCCGTGCTCTGAGCCGGCTCTCAAATGCAAGGAGAGCTATCCGAATGCATTTTTCCAGCCCTCTAAAATGCATTTGGGCATGTGTCTCTTTGTTGTGGGCTTGTCGGAAACCGCCAAAATGCTCGTTTGATTTTCGAAAATGCTCTTGTGTTTCTATGGTTTCCTTACTAAATATGGCATAGAGCCTTAGATTCCGCGAAACCGACAGAGCCCAACTTAGCCGTCGGTGGAAAGCCACAGGCAAATCCATTTTTCCAGCCCTGAAAAACGCATCTGGCTTGGCACGGATGCTTTTGCAATAGTCGTCAGTCTCCAGGCACCAATCTACTTTCGATTTTTGGCTTTAGTTTCGTGGTCTTGCGTTGTCATGAAGCATAATTGAACGATTCTCTTAGTCAGGAAAACGCGCGAATGCATTTTCCCGGGCCTGAATAATGCTTTTGGTGGTGCTGCAAGCATTCTTCTGCCGTGCTCTGAGCCGGCTCTCAAATGCAAGGAGAGCTATCCGAATGCATTTTTCCAGCCCTCTAAAATGCATTTGGGAATGTGTCTCTTTGCTGTGGGCTTGTCGGAAACCGACAAAATGCTCGGTAGATTTTCGAAAATGCTCTTGTGTTTCTATGGCTTTCCTTAATGAATATCGCCTAGAGCCTTAGATTCCGCGAAACCGACAGAGCCCAACTTAGCCGTCGGTGGAAAGCCACAGGCAAATGCATTTTTCCAGCCCTGAAAACGCATCTGGCTTCTCACGGATGCTTTTGCAATAGTCGTCAGTCTCCAGGTACCAATCTACTTTCGATTTTTGGCGTTGTGTCTCTCCTGTCTTTACGTAAATACTGTTTGGGGTCTTCGCCGGCACTAATTTCCTGAAATATGGGTAGGGGACCACATCGCTCGCAGACATGCCGCAAAGCAGATTTATGGGCAAAACGAACCGGCAGAGCAGGCGCCAAAGCGCGCGTCGTACATGCGCGCATGGCGTTGACAAAAAAAGCCCAAACCCGAAACCTTAACACCAAGCTTCAAGCCTCAAGCCGTAGGCCCAAAGCCTTAAACCTCAAACTTTAAACCCCAAAAGCCAAAGCCTGGAGCCAAACACCCCGAAAGCCCAAACCCTGAAGCTTAACCCTTAAGCCTTAAGCCCGAAGCCTTGAGCTTCAAATCCAGGTCAATCGCCTCCGAGCCAAGGGCATAGGCAAGACCTGCCAGGCCCTGGCAAATCAAGGTTTTGAGGTTGCTGGAAGCATGAACTTGAATTACCTTACTGCTTCCAAATTCGTATTTTGACTGAAGGATGGACCACGGTGGTTGGCATGTATTTCTTTGTTGGAAGATTTTAGAATTGGATTGCCTTCAAGCAGGTGGAGAAAGACCAGGTGGCAGCAGAAGACCTGCACCAAGAGGGGCTGGGCCAGATGGGGCTGTGTCCTGTAGAGTTGAAGCCTGTAAGGTGAAGGTTGTTGTGACAGCTACTGCAACTGAAGGCACAACACAAGAGCCACAAGAGGCAACTCGTTGGCTGAGGAGGCCGAGGACACGAGGCCCAAATGGGCGGTGCCACGAGGAGCAAGAAACCCTGCAAAATTTCATTTCTGCCACACGGTTGGGTTCCAATTGGGATGTTGACTACATCTGTATGGAGGTTTCCTCGCAAGCCTTGCTGCACATGTCCCCATATTGGGACATTGGTGGGCGCATGGCAAGGCCCAGAAAGCAGGATGACGTCCCCCAGGCCTGGAGCTAGATGACTGGAGAGCACGCTCTCAGGGAGTGAGGCCAGTTACTAATCAAACACTTCAGGGTATCTGGGCAGCCCGTCCTGGTGCAGCCAGATACATACCCCAGAAGCTGCACTTGCAGCCATGAAGTCTGAACTTGGGGAACTGAGCGCTTCCCATGCTGGGAAACAGAAAGTCATCGACTATGGGTCCCAAGCTCGAAAGGAAGGCTCCATCACCTTGGTGTGGCCCAAGGCAGCCTCAGAGATATAGACTGGGTAAACAGCCGGAAAAACAGCGGCTATTCTGCCTTTGGCAAGCTGGGTGGTGGTTATGGGTCACTTCAGCTTGTGGGAAAGGCAGGCATGGACGTGCAGGCTCTGAAGATCTACATGGGCAGCTGGGTTCAGACGTTGAAGGCCAGTGTGATGCCACCAAAGGCACCAGGAACAGAAGCTAAAACTTATTGGTATGCAAACCACAAAGGCATGCTAGACAGAGTCGTGGCAATCATGTCAGGAGTCGACAACCAGGAGCTGGAGAACTTGAGAGAAGAAGTGAGGTTGACTGGTTGTACAAGTGAGGAGTGGGCTGAAGAACAAAGGTTGCTGCAAACTGTTCTGGACAGGCAACTGGCTCCAGACATCTGGACGAAAGATGTCAGGACAGAGGAAGTCAAGATGCAGCTCCATACAAAGATGCAAGCAGCCTGAGATGCTGGCTTCTTCCGCTGTCAAAATGAAACATTGCAAAGTGTGGCGCCCCTCTGGAAAAGGCAGGGCCATGCTGATGCATGTATTTGGGATAGTGAATCCTATAACCAATGGAGCTGCAGCCAGAAGGCTCTCGAAAAGGAGGCCGTGGCATTTCGAAGCAGATGATCAGGATGAGCATGATGAGGCAGCCATCAATGAAGCCATCTCACATTTGCAAACCTCAGATCTCCATATCTGACAACATGACTGCAGCAGAGGTCAGGAGCCTTGGGAGATCAACAGCAGCAGGAGACATAGACTGGAATGCAGTGGCAAATCACCAGGATTGCCAAATCCTTACGAACTTGTTCGCAGATGTTGCTAGGTACACGACATGGAGAAGGCATACAGCACAGCCCCAGCAATTCAGTGTCTCCTTGCAAGCTGGCAGAGCAGGGCCAGCACTGGGGTCACGGTTGGCTGCAGCAGTTGTGAAGCTAGTCTTTCTGAAGCTGTATCAGTCAGCCAACAGGTTCCGTAGGGATGCAGTGCTGGCAAGCCCTCCAGGGCAACCAGCGCCCAACCATGCAATCCTGGACAATTTGGTTTGGAACCATAACCTGCCAGATGGCATCAGGCATGTGCAAATCACATCAGACATGACCCCTGCCCAAGTCAACACCATTGGGCAAAGATGTGAGGTGGACTGGGCAAGCATAGCCGCACATCTAGGTGATAGGAATCTTGCCCCATTGCTAAAGCAAGTGTCCATGAATTCAAAAAGCAAGTGTCCATGAAAACAAAATGGAGGAGGGCAAAGGGAAAGAAGACACGTGGAATTCCCATGCTGGCAGTCACCAAGCAGGAGGCTAAGGAATGAGATTTCCTTTCTGGCAAATCTGCCTTCCGATGCAGGTCACACCATGACTACCGAAGCAAACGCGCACTAGTGCTGCTTTTCAACGGCAAAAAGAAGGTAAACCTTCGATGATGTGATCATGGAATGCCTTCTTTTCAGTCTAAGGGTCTGATTGTTCATACGGTTCCAACGCGGCGATTGAATGAGATATGCGTCCGACCGATCCAATCTGTCTTCATGTTGCATGCTTCTGCAGAAACTTGTCGCTGGAGAAAGTGCGTGCAAATCGAGAACAAGACGTAAGAGTACAGTCTGGAACAGAAAGCTGATCAACATAGCAATGCAGCAAGGTTCCGGTTCTGGCATTTGCAAGTGACGGGTTTCCACAGCAACACACGCAAAACCTCGCCATGTAGATTTGTGACGCGTGACCATGACTGGCGTGCTGGAGGCTTTGCGGAGTGAGCTAGGGGAGCTGATTGCCGAAGCGCAAGTTCTGTGAGAACAGGTTGCAGCTGCTTCTGCTGCTATTGCGGTTCTTGCTCGGAACAAGCCCGTGCCCGAGCGCCTGAGCAACTTGTCCAAAGTTTCAGAATCGTCAGCCTTGGTGGTGCCAGGCATGAGAAAGAACGACAGGAGGCACGCAAGAATTTAATGCGCAGTTTTCGCAAATGGTAGTGGTCTGTTGCAGGAAAGAATTGCTTCAGAATTGTACAAGCGCTTCTTCCACGCAGAATTGTGACCGTCTCAAGCGTGTCGTGAGATATGGCCACTGCCCCTTTTCTGGTCTTCTTCTCAGGTCCGAGGAGTCTCCGGAGCGGGCAACCTTCGCCGGAAGTGTGGCGGGTGTGGATGCCAACGTGACTGACATGTTTCCGACGATGGAATCTGGTATACATAGGATGAAGAGCATGGCAGGCAGCCGCAGCAATACGTGCCATCGAGCGTTACCAGAAGGCGCGAGTTGCTGTGCCGCCAAGACTTACGAGCAGTATGCACGCGGGCGTCGAGGAACGTCGACATCGGTTTATGTACCTTTCCAGCAGTCCGCATCCCTGGGAGTCCGTGGTCTTGCTTGTTTCCTCTGTTGTCGCCGATAGTTGAGAATCTAGGCGCATGTTCCAAGCCTAGGTGCGGAGCATGTCGGTGACACCAGGACACGTGTGCTGGAGGCGCCAAAAGGGCAAACGAATGCTTCCCGCTACGCTAGCATTTAATTGTTCAAGTCAGTCGTGTATCTCCAGGGTGATCCGTACATATTAGGTAGCGAGACCACTTGAACTGGATAGTTTGAGTTCCTGACTGATATTTCGTGTAGTGACATTTTGATGAGCAGATTCGACCCACTGCTGCCAGAGACTGTTTTATCCGAAGGCCCGAGGCATGTGTGTTGGTCGTCCATCCAGCCGGCAGTTGTTGCTTTGGCCATACAGCAAAATTGCAGCCTTGCGTTTTGTTTGATTCTGAGGTTAGCGTTCACACAGCTGTCGACTTGCTGGAAAGACTTCCAGATCGTTCCCGTCTGTGTTCATTACGCGCGGCTGTTGCAGAAGAGTCGGCCAGGAGCTGAAGCAGTGGCTGCTTACCATGTCAATGGACACTTCAAGCTCTGCTGAAACGGTGGCAAATCGTGCAATCCTCAGGCCCAGAAGTGCACCTTTGGCTTGGCAACAGTTGAAAATCCAGGTTACACAAGAACGACCACCGGTGCCCAATTCAGAGGAGACCCTTCCGAGCGTTTGAGGTCTTGACTACTGTTGGCAGTTCCTCCTCAGGGCTCCAGCCTTCGAAGCACAGTTGCTCGGCATTGAGCGTGTTTGTTGCCGTTAGAAAACCATAGTCTCTGTTGCGACTGGAGCTGGCATGGCTAAGGAATGAGATCTCCTTTCTGGCAACTCTGGGAGAGGTCCGGTTGGCCTTCTTGGCAATGCACTCTGTGAATATTTTCAGCGGCTGATACTCGAGAGAGAATATGCTTGCCGAGTCTTTGCCTGCCTGCCGCCCGCATGAAAGTCAAGTTTGAACCATCAGTGGGTTACTTCAGGACATGGCATATTCCACATACATGCCAAAGCAACCTGCTCGGAGCAAGTATGGCGTGATGTGACGTGTTCAGCCGCTTCCATTGGAGATTCCAGCCTGTGACTGGCACCGCAAGGAACCACTGAAGCAAACTCACACTATGGCTGCCCGCCAGAGTCTAACAGAAACAGAAACGTTTATCTGCAAACCCGTACATCGTCAACAACGCTTATATGACTGCTTGAAGCAGCTCGCTGCGGCCCTTTCCGCTCGGAGCTCAGACCCGAACCTTCAAGCTTTCGCTTCCAAAAGTGTCTCTGCAGTGAGCGGAGGCCAAGCATGGAGCCGGCCCAACTGGCATCCCCCTCGGAGGGCACTGTGTATGTATGATTATGTATACATGTACACGTATATGTATGTTTATGCTTTTGAAGGAGTCTTCAGGCCTGTGATGTTTTTTTTTGGAGTTGTTCTGCTTTCTCAGGCTCAATTGGAGAGCATGTGCAATGCTCTCTACAACGCACGCTCTGAGGCAGTGATGTGTTCTTAATCAAAACGCCAGTGCAGACTTTATGACCATTCTGTAATCTTGGGTTGTTTGCCCTCTTGTTCGCGGTGCCGGCAGGCTGAAAGAGCACAGGCGCACCAGACGCTCCTACCATTGGTGCAGAATCCACAGCTGCAGCCTTAACTGACCACTGCTTGTGCAACGGATGCGTGTGGGTGGCTCGAGTACTCAAGGTGCATGCCGCAGCTGCAGTTTGTTCTGGCGCATACCAGCAGTGGGGGACTTACCAAAATGAAGCGGCAAAATTCGCAAGCTCTAGACGCTTCTCCAAACACTGTAAGGTCCGCATGCTTTGATCTTTGCGGCAACAGGCTTGATGAAGGTGTGGCTGCCGTGTTCGTCATCGTGCCAAGCCTGCAGCATCGCATCACCGCACAATCCCTCGCCAGCTCATCACGTCGCACTGGACGTCCGTATCCGACCACCAGAAGGAAGAGATGAGGAGAGAATCGCCCATAGAAATGGACGGTATGGGGTCGACATGTTTGGCCGCATTTCCCATGAAAGGAGCTTTCTCCTTGACTACTTAGCAAAAAACGGTTGCAGCCTCAGAATGACGGCGGCCAGATCTGACACTGCAACAGATTATCGGAGCCTCCCGTATCTGCAGTGCTCACTCCTGAGGCCCCGACCTTTATCGGAGCGCGCCCATGGGTGTGTCGCCCGTGGTGAGGCAAGGACCCAAACTATCAGCAGGCTTTGCGGAGTTTCAGTTTTTGTGGCTCCAGGCTGCTTTGCAGAGAGCCTTTGCTGCAATGTTCGACGTTCGAAAGATGCATTCCAGCAGCCGCAATGCTTCGTCCACGTGTGCTGAGGTTATCAAACTAGCTTGGCTCGAGGGGTCTGCTGCTCAGAGACACTTCGACCATGCATTTGGCTTTTTGCTGCAGAGTGTTCGGAGCCTTGTAGGCCGCAGCATCAGATGGTCACGGCGAAGGTCGACCAGTTTTTGCAGTCCTCTCCACTGCCAGCTCCCAAGACCAGAAAGCTTTCACAAGCATTTTGGGGAGCGGTACATGTCATGTCCGTGTAGGATGACGGCCTGTTTCGCCTTTTTGACTTGTGACTGCACCCGACGCCGCCTGTGCTCCCAGCTTTAAGTTTGCATGTTGCTGTCGGTCAATGCTCTCGGTCATGCGAGAGCTTTGGTGCTGCAGGCCACTGTCTGACTCTTGTGGTGTCTTTTGGTTCTACCATAGTGGCATATCCGGGAACTGATCACAAGCATGCCTGTTTGCAGTCTTGTGCGGTTCGAAGGACAGGAGAGCCTGCTTGATATTATATGAAAGCTTAGTCTCCGTCCCACCTCAGATTGCGCAGTAAGCAGTCTCAGACCAGCCCTCGCGTGATGCCAGTCAGAAAACGATCCCTAAGGTGTAGCGGCGACGCTTGCATTAATGGAAGGGTGTATGCCCGTCGCGGGATCGCGGTAAGAGGCAAACTCCATGGAGGACACTAGGTATCAAAGACGGGCCAGCAAGTTTGTCGTCGTAGCTACATCTGGACAGCAACTCTATTCCACGGAGTCTGTCTGTGCGTGTGTGTGCTTCGCAGGGTGGCTTTGACACCTCTGCTGCTCCTGTTTTGTTCACCGACAGTGGCAGAGAATTCAGAGGAGGCCTTCAAGAAAAACGGAGCCTTTGCTTGGGAGTTTGTCGTTTGCACGCATACCAACTACCATCTCTGCGCGGGTGACAGGCCTACTTTGATGCACTTGCCATCCACCTCGGCAAAAATGCATCCTGGGCACCATCCACGCCGTCAATGCGTGGAACACGTCGAGGCTTCGTGTAGAAAGCCCTGAAGGAGCAGCTTGCGGCCAGAGTAGCGAGCTTCGCATGACCCGGCTGCAGGCCACTGCACGGAATCGAACCTCTACAACTGCATGGGCAACGCGAATTGCTGTGACCCAGCAGCTCAATGCTTCGCAAAAGATGCGAAAGTGGCAGTTTGCAAGACGCAGTGCACTCCAGGCGGGGCCGAAGAAGCATGGTGCGACTCGCGTCTTTCTGTGAGTCTGTTCTCTCGGCACAGGAATCCACCTAGACGATCCCGCACAGTGGCAGACTCCATGGTCCTGCGACATCGTTGGTTCTGGCCGGAGTGGCATTGCAGTCTCAGGCCAAAGCGAAAGCGAAGGCTGGTGCTCCACAAGCTACAGAGGCAACTGCCTAAACAATCCCAAGTGTTGTGATGGATCCTTCACCTGCTTTGAGAGGGATTCGGACTACGGTGCTTGTCTTCCCAGTTGCCGCGCCGGGATTCACTGGCAAGATCCTCCGCAGTACAGATTTCCATGGTCCTGCAGGGCAATATATCCTGGAAATCCGAGTCCCCCTCCACCGCCTCCGCCCTCTCCAAGTCCGAGTCCGGGAGGAGGGCAGTGCTCGGCCTCATGGTCGGTGAATTGCAAGTGGAAGCCGGTCTGCTGCGAATCAGGCTTCCAATGCTACGAGAAGAACGGTGGCTACGGCGCTTGTTTGCCCTATTGCAACCCTGGCATCCATGCATCGGAGCCAGTGCAATGGCGAACCCCGTGGAGCTGCAGACTTCTTTCACCCGGCGGCGGCGGTTCCCCAGCACCGCCCCCGCCCACGCCGCCCCCGCCACCCCCGCCCCCTCCGACCCCTCCTCCCCCACCGCCGACTCCCCCGCCAGCGACGTGTACAGGCTCCTACGTTCAAAACTGTGTGAGCAATCCCACCTGCTGCGATGCTTCCCTCACGTGCTACGAGAAGGGCAACGGCTATGGAGCCTGCCTTGCCTCCTGCCAGCCAGGCATACACTGGGCAGAACCTCCCCAGTACCGGACCCCATGGTCGTGTCGAGTTCTGGGAGGTTCGCCAGCTCCTCCTCCCCCCCCTCCCCCTCCGACTCCTCCCCCACCCCCTCCTACTTGGACTCCAGCCCCTACGCCTGCACCACAGTGCTCAGCCAGCTACTCTGACAACTGCTTGAGTAAGCCGACATGCTGTGACCCAGCCATGACTTGCTTCATGAAGGATTCAGCGTATGGGCAGTGCTTGCCCTTCTGCGTTCCTGGCATCCACTGGAACGATCCACCTCGCTATCAGACTCCTTGGGCCTGCACACCCGTAGGCGGTTCAGGGCCATCTCCATCACCTCCACCTCCCACTACAACTGCACCACCTGCACCGCCACCACCAACACCCACGCCGCCACCGCCTTCGCCATCACCATCCCCACCAACGCCATCCCCGACTCCGGCACCAGGCACAGCCGCTTGCTGGGTTCCCTAAGTGTGCGCAAGTTGTAGGGCAGGGGTTGTGCTTGGTAAAGTTTAACAAGGTAGCATGGAAGTTGCAGCATGGAGCCAGGCAATGCAGGGGTCCAGAACCAACCACCTGTTGAACAGAACATGTGTAAACTGACTTGAACTGGCAGGCGATCCCTTGGAGATTCCCTTTGCTGAACAGTCGCTACACAGTCCCAGCGGTGCCGACCTCCTTACCTTTCATATGTGGCTTGGCGTAGCAGAGCCCTTTCCTTCGACCCAGGTCTGCCCTGAAACGGTTTCGAGGTACCGAGCCCAAGGGCACAGCAGCTACCCGCCACTCAATGTGAACACCGGGAACCTGGCTGGTATCATGTGCTGCTCTCAGAAGGCTTGACCCGTCCTTTTTTCAGAGCTATCGGCGGAGCATGCGAGGTGGTACATTCAGAATGAAGTCGTCTCTGGCGCATACGGTTCTGGCAACAAGTTCGGCATCGAGAGGATCCGCCGCTTCAAGGCCGCAGGGGGGTCCCAGCCCAGCACCGTGATGGCAGCATCAAGCCGGTGCTTCTTTTGCTCTTTTCTGTTCTGGGAGGTGTCCATGAAGGCGACGCAGCCTTTGATGCTCGGCCCGCAAAGCTGCCCAACAAGCAGCCATGCCTAGGACATCAGTTTGTGGATGCAGAGCACGGGGTTTCTTGAATCCGAGGATTAATGCTGGCATGAACTTTGGCGTGCGTGTGGCGTTCGACTTCGGAAACTGTACCGGGCCATCCTGTATTTACGATTGGAAGATGCTCAGCTCAACTTGAAGGAAGGTGACAATGTCCCCAGCCATTGGCTGACGCTTGTCGAAAACCATAGGCCTGCATGTCATGGACTTGTCCAAGTGTTTGCCCCTGGCGGCAGCCAAAGTCTTCATCCACCCGCGGTGGCAGGAGATCACGATTGCTAACAAAAGCATTTGTAGTTGTCAAAGTCACTGGTCCTTGACGTGATCCAGACTTGTTTGAAATTCGACAGGTGTCTGCCAGATGCACAAACAACATTTCCGGTACTGAGATTGTGCGTCGGTGTTCTT